CAGGTATACGGAATTTTTTGTGCTTTGCTTTATCCGAGAAACCGATCTATTCATATACAATTATATTGTATATTATATTTCAAATTAACGCAAATTAAGCTTACGAGATTTAACCATACATAATTCCGTATACCTGTTTTATAAGTGACTTGCAAATCATGAGTAGGAAATGCGTAGATCGGTTAGACTAGCCATGTATGGTTAAATCTCGTAAGCTTTTTAGACACAAGCGTTAATTTGCTCAATAGTTAACTCTTGCACGCTATATTATTATATAATATACATATATAGGATAGTTAGTACATTCAGCATTAACTAAAATATGTCGGTGAATCGATGGTTGAATTTTCATCCTAGCTTCATCCTAGCTTTTTCCATTTTATAACGCATTTTAACGCTGCAATAAAACATTTTAATAAAATATATTACCATCTAATATATTGCAACTATTCGAGAACTCATAACTTATTTTCCTGCATGCGTAAAATTTGTAACTAAAAACTACTTGTCTTTTGGTAAACAAGACGATTGCATGGTCAGTTTAGTAAATACATGATATGCGTACGGGTCAACGCTATTTCCGGTGCACAAGAGATGCTAACTTGTACTAGGTGATTATGCACATATGTATTGTATGCGATGCAACGAATACGTAGGTACATTGGAAATAAATACAGTTGCTAGATTGAATTAAAGGGTTAGATCAAGACGGAACGATAAGGTTGATTTTTATTTTGAAAAATTGTTCAAGTTTTATTAATAATGGGGAAAACGCTTGTTAAACTTTATAAAGTTAAAAAAGCTATGAATATTTAAGTAAATATAATCGTGTATTTCTAAAGAAATAAGTTTAACCTTCCTTTTTACTTTATCTTTTATTATTTATCTTGTGTAATTTGTAAAGCAGGTGCAAATTTGTGGTAATTATAAAGGAAAAACTTATTACGCGAGAAAACGGATGGAATCAAGATCTCATAATTGCAGAAAGCTGTTTTGACCGAAAGAATAGATTAATTAAAGAGATACTTAATTTTATAATTTAATATTTATTATAACTTTACATAGAAATAACGGTTTCATACAAAAATTTTTAATGCTATTTATGTATCGCTTTTCTTCACAAAAATTCTAACGAAAAGTTGGAACTATTTTCCATAAAAAAGAGTGCTAGTCTTTGTAGTAGGTATGTAAAGTCAGTGGAAAAAATTGGAAGAAATGTACAAACATAAATCAATTTACTCAATAATAAAATTTAAATTTGTATTGCATAGATTTATTTGAAGAATGTTAGGTATTGTTTAGATTTTTACAAACGTACTAGTAATAAAAACTTCAATGTGAAATCAAATGAAAAATGGCCTCAAACAGGATGTTTAATATTTCTATTATAAAAAACAAACTGACGATACCACACGTTAGTTCCTTTAATGATAAGTCTTAAGGATATGAAACACAGCAAATAAATCCATAAAAATTTAGAAAAGTTCTGAGAAATCAAAGCCGTATCGAATTCGCTAAATTGCAAATACAGAACGCACATGCAAATAAAAAATTGTTATAGCAGCAAAAAATAGTCAAAGAGGCAGCTATAACGACTGCAAGAAGAATGCTATATAGCCTGAAAATAATTGATGAGATATTTTGAAATCAAAATTTTTTACTGTTCAAAATATAACGTAAAGATGTTTTACTTATTTTTTCTGCACTTTTTAATTTAACAAATGATTTTAAGCATTTACGATTAATTTTATACACATACATTCATACACATATTTTGTACGTAACATTTATTTTTCAAATAAAATAATAAGTATCAGACTCTCGATTTGATTTTTTAAATTAATTTTTTAATTCTGAAAAATATTGATTCATGAATGATAACAAATTTGAATTAGTTGTTATGCGATTTTCGTTAACAATATGGAATGCAAGCTACATTATGCGTTCATTAATACATAGCAATAAAAAAGGCAGAGCATTATATCAATTTACGGAGCATACATTAGATTGATTAGATGATGAAATAGAAAACAGGCTGATACGTAAATTCACAGTGCAAATAAAAGTTTTTGCGATCATAAAATTTTTTATCGTTATTCCATTAAGAAAGAGAAGTTTGAATTATTACATGAGTTTTATAGTACGCAATTACGTGATTTATAACTATTTTTTATTTGCAACGTGTACATGGATATATATCATTCTAAAACTCGCAAAAAAAACGTGAATATTAACCGTAACTTAAAGACAATCGTAGTTTATTGCGATAAGTTTAAATACTTCCGACAACCGAAAGAACAATGGATGCGAATTGTTCATATCTTGCTCTTGAAGGACAAATACGTATCCAAGTCCGTCAAATAGAGTATTTTAGTGGGTGGACAATTCAAATTATAGACATGAAACACTTGTCATGTATCATACAGACTTTCTGTGATAGACAGTTTTACAAATGTGAGTACAAAGACAAATTTTTTTCTCAAACGAGTGATGAAATTAGTGCAGTTTATGTTGCCAAAGCGTGTGCTGTACAGCGAGAGACAGAATGGTTGCGACACTTTTTTTTAAATGAGTTTAGAAACGTGCATTTAGATTCAACGTTACGTTCCAAAATCTTCTTCCCGAGTAATATTTTACTCGATGGCCATTCCGAAAATATTTTGAGCGTTTCCGAGCTATTTCTCGAGTAAAATTTTGGAACACAAATCTGAATCTATAACATGCGCGTTCCTAAGGCCATTAAAAAAAAGTGTTGCAACCATTCTGTCCATCGCTGTTTCTAAACTGTTTTATTAAGTAAATTCTTTGTAATATTTACACCTTCTCACCACCCGTTCTGAGACATACATTGCTTAATAATATTTATATAAATCTATATTATTAATTATAAATAAAACCATGTCTTCGTGTATGTAAGCTCTCGGTTTATTTACCTCTCTTCGAATCGTCCTGAATCGTTCAGTCAGCCTTGGCCTGGCAATAGTGCGATCGCATTGGTATGCCTACTATTTTTTTCACGGACGTGCTTGAATTATGTATCTTTCGGAAAGAGAATAAAATTCATGAGCGCGCATTTCTATTCTTTCTTATCCGATACGTTAAATCGCAGCCGCACGAAATGATATGAGAGCATTTAGCATTTTCATGTTGTACTTTATAACCGCGTGCGATTCAGCTTTTAAGTTCACCTAACAGTTGTGTTACCGCATTTTAGATTCATCGATCATTCGAAGCAACGTCCCAAGTGGAACAAGGGGTCACGATGACGTCAAAGTGATATTGAAATGGTGTTAAATAAGTGAACTTTTATAATGTTTCGTCACTATTTTGCCGCAATTTTGATGTGATCTTCAGTTTTACTTGTGGTAAATTCCTCGGCAAATTACAGAAACATTCGTATTCTTTAATTTACTGACTTCAAACCAATGGATATTATTTTAAACCGAATAAAATGTTATTAATTTAACAAGAAGAAACTTGCTGCTGCTGCTAGACCAACGCAAACATACGCAGTTGAAAAATTTGAAGTAAATTATCTTACGAAGTTAAGAAAGATGTTTGATACTTGATGTCGCTTAATCGACACGGAAAGCACGATTGCAAGATGATAGTGAAATTATTCAATGTCAAATTTACAAAATGTTAATAATTAAAGTTTTGATTGAATCGTGCAAGTAGTTTCATTATTTTAAAATATTTTAAGTTCTAACAAGTGTCTGTAGGATCTTTAGTGGCACAAATTTTGTCATCCATTGACATTTAAGCTATATGTGATCGAATCGTGTATATTTATAATTTGATTCATGCACGCGGTTACTAATATGGCAGCTTAGAACATTTTAATGAAGTATATTTCGTACTCTCGATCCCCTCTCCTTTAGACATTAATAAATATCGGCACGTATCTTTTACATCGTTCGATCGTGACGCATTTCTATTTCGTGAATCACAATCAGTCCTGCGAAACGTTTATTGTTTATGCTCCACGAATAGTCTAGCTGTGACTATATTTTATATGCAAGGCGAATCATTATGAGTAAGTGGTCCATTGTTACGAAAAAACAATGCTTTTATATTAAAAGTCGAAAGTGTACGGCGAGACTTCTTCTTAAAAACAAGGATTTGATTTTTTAAATACAATAATTTTCACATTATTAAATTTGATCTTCTAAAAGTGGAGGTTTACAAAATATTTCATATGCTTGGATAATTCTTTCATACAGTCGGCCTCTTTCCGATTATCAGTAACATGTTCCGGATATGGATAACCTTGTATTTAAAGAAATTTATCTATGACACGCTGAACAACCGATATTTTAGATTAAAAAGCAAGTTTCGGATCTATCACTCGTTCCCCTTGATATCTTTTATAGGTACCCTGCGTATTTATATATAGAAGTTACATGTCAAATTTGAAACTTGTTTCGACATATTGCGTTTCCGAGAACAAATAATGATTCATCATGCAATTGCTGGACGCTTCTCGGAGGAAGCTGAGAAGTGGATAGATAAGGATATATGGTAGAATAGATAAGCATTACATTGCAGTACAAAGGCCTGATTTCTAAGGTAGAAAACATTCATATAAATTTCTGTTAGTTTACTTCGGCTGCTTTCCTTTTAGAGAATCGACATTTTTTACACAAATCGACACGCATTGCTTTCTATTTAGGCCCGGTTTCACCGTCGCTTTCAATGTCGCTTAATCTTTCAGCTTAGCTTAACTCGTTCTTTGTCTCTTCCTAACTGTTACTTTAGAAAGAGGCAAGCGTGAATTAAACTAAGATTAAAGTTAAGCGACGTTTGGTGAAACCGGGCCTTAGGTCCGATTTCACCGTCAATAACTTTAAGCTTAGCTTAATTCGTTCTTTGTCTCTCTCGAATTATTACTCT